TAAGTTGAAATAAATTAAATAAATTGAACCCTGTTTGATGATGTTTCAGATCATCAAACAAATTTAAATATTAGAAAAAGATAAGAGGTAAACATAAAATGCAGTTTCCAACTGAAAGTGTTTGTTATTAAGGGGGCAAAAAATTCCAACCTACATTACCCTTTAAAAAGAAGTGATTGTCCCCTAACCCTAATAACTGGTTGGACCACCCTTAGCAGCAACAACTGCAATCAAGCATTTGCAATAGCTCGCTTCGAGTCTTTTACAGTACTGTGGAGGACTTTTGGCCCATTCTTCTTTGCAGAATTGTTGTAGCAACATTGGAGGGTTTTTGAGCATGAACCGCCGTTTTGTTTTGGATCGCTGTCCTGCTGCAGAACCCAAATGCGCTTCAGCTTGAAGTCACAAACAGATGTCTGGACATTCTCCTTCAGGATGTTTTGGTAGACAGCAGAATTCATGGTTCCAGTTACAAAATCAAGTCTTGCTGGTCCTAAGGCAGCAAAACAGCCCCAGAAGATCACACTACCACATTTTGATGTTGGTGTGATGTTCCTTTTCTGAAATGCTGTGTTACTTTTACGCCAGATGCAACAGGACTTAAACTGTCCAAATAGTTCAACCTTGTATCGTCAGAATATTTTCCCAGGGTATTTTCTTGGGAGTCATCAAGATGTTTTCTAGCAAAACTGAGATGAACCTTTGTGTTCCTTTTGCTCAGCAGTGGTTAATCGTCTTGGAACTGGGGCCATTTTAGCCCAGTCTCTTTCTTATGGTGGAGTCATGAACGCTTACCTTAACTGAGGCAATTAGGGCCTGCAATTTTTGCACTCATGACTGTGCACAGGTGCCCCGTCCAGCACATATCAGCAGAATGCAAGATGCAAGCTAGGACACTCAAGTGCCTGGGATAGTATACGGGAAGATCTGTGAGGCTAAGACTAGAAGTCTTTCAAGTCCCGATGGGATGAGGACAGCAGTCCTGTCCTGTGGGACTTTGAATTTAAGACTGACAAGGAGGTCCTGGCCAAGAAGCAGAAGACATTAGATGTGATAGATGAAGTACCACAGGCTGGAATAACAACTGGAGCAAAAGTGAAAGGTCAAGTCCAAAGTGGCTGATACGCAGATAGGTAGGCAGATGCATAAATGTAAATTCAATGATTTTATTTTTCTATTTTATTTTCAGTATGAACACTAAGATCCAATTTGCCTTTTAACCCTTGCTAATTAGGGAAATTGCATCACCTCTTTGCTGCGCTTATGAAAGCAGTTTCTCTGACCATGGAATCCCACAATGGTTTCTGTGTGGCTTGCTGCCAACAGGGAATACCCAGTCTGAGCTGAGAAACACAGAAACAGAGATAGAAAGAATATCAGGGAATCCTTTCTATCTCCCTCCTCCGAAACACAGGTGAAAGTTGTTGCTATGGCAACGGGAAACTGTTTGCAGTTCCTCTTTGTCTCTCTCTTTCTGTTTCAGTCAGTGTCCTGCATAACTGGGAGACCCCCTCTCCTCCTCTCCCGTCTGGGCCGAAACTCTCTAGAGTTATTTCCTCTTTCCGGTGCGAACAGAAAGCTGGTTGTGTTTGTACTTTGTTGTTCCTGTGCTCAAACAGAGGTAACCGTGAATCCTTAACCGACCATCATTTATGCATTTTCACCCAAGTAAACAATACCATTTTTTACAGTACAATTTTTTTTTGCAACCTTGCACGTAAACATTTTTGTCTTAAATAAACTGATTGATAATGAACTGGCCTTTAAAACAGAAACACGATGCCTTCAAGTGTCATGTTTTGGCATTCCACTTGCTTTCGTGAAGCCATTTCTCACATTTGTGAAGCTGTTTTTTTGCCATTTTTGCCATGTGTGCCATATTTCAACTTAGAACTGCATCACATTATGCTATTATATTATATCTTCTCCCAGTCTTTTCTTCCAGCTTTCTCTCCTATATCGCTTCATCTGTTCTCCTCTCCCCTAATGCTGCAAGCAGCCTTGCTGAGAGTTGATATTTAACTTCAGCCCCACCAAATAAAGAAAGCACCCATGCAGTTATTTTGAGAGGAAGATCTACAAAATAAAGATTAGCTTCCAATCCCGAGAACACTGAACTGATTATTCAGGGTGAAAATACAGAGGAAGAGCATTTGTCCCTTGAAACAGTAAAGCATGTGGAGAATGTGAGTAGAAAACTTGAAGTTGCAACACACTGAAACAATGACCTTTATTGCAGGTGTTCCCTCCATTTGTATCTGTTTCTGTGTGGTTTGACTGTGTGCCATTAGAAACATAATGAATCAGCACTTTTTTCTCACAGCCACACAGTCACAAGTATGCAGCAGCCATGCAGAGGAAATGAACACTTTTAGTCACTTTAGGGAGGTAATGTTTTAAAATACAAATAATTATTATATGTTTGTGCTCTGTCAAGTATAAAAAACATTTTTAAATGACTTTAAATGGAGTTTAATCTAGTAAATGTGTACACTTGGGACTTGAATTTATTTGAGTGCTCTTTTACTTTTTCCACTGGCAGGAAGTCATATATTGTCAGCAACATAGTATAACGTCCTAAACCTATATATAGATGTCATGACTCTTTAGTAGGTTATGACAGATTAAGACACAATGAGTTTACCATTAGGTTACAAGCCCATAAATAAACATTGACTCACATGCACACACAGTTCGACTTACGTGTGCCCATCTGCGCTCGTGTTTCCATACGCGATGACGTTGGTGCGTTTGCATCACACCTTATGCGTATGAGTGAAATTTGATAAACCTGAAAATCTTTTTTGAGTACTGAACAACTGGTTGAACCAAGGTGTGCTAGCCATGGGAAAGAGAGCAGGAAGGCAGCCAGTTAGACTGGTAGAGTCAGATAGAAAAAAAAAAAAAGAAAAAGCAGCAGAGGAAGTGAGTGGTTACTGTATCTAAGGATAGTAATGATGTAAACAGAGGTCTGCCTGCAGACAACATGAACCCCTCTGAGCCCTAAAACCACAGGCCACCTCAGTGACAAATTCTGAATCACAGCCTAAAGACTATAGAGGTGAAATACCACTAAGAACTGGACCAACAAAAATAGTAACAGTTGTTTGTTACTTTGGGTGGAGTTTGGATTTGCATTGTATCTTTTTAATTAAACAGTTTGCATTCCTGGGATGTTTTCAGTCAATGTTTTTGGAACTATGAGTAAAGCAGCGAGAAACTCACCATAGCTTCACCT